TGTGAGCGGCCATCTGCCGAGGCCCACTGGGGTTCAAGGAGACAGAAGCAGACATAGTTTCCTGGATGGGGTCGCCTTTTACATTTGCTTTCATCCTTTTGATATTAAGAATCAATTAAATTAAATTCAGTTTATTTCTATAGCGCCAATTCACAACACATGTCATCTCAGGACACTTTACAGTTCAAGCAGATCATCCAGTCAGATTGATTCAAAGTTTTCAGAGCCTGGTTCTGCTGGAGCATCTATCAAGAATCAAATTATATATGTGAACAAAATATTATCTACTGCTGTTTTTTTGCTTCGTTTGCTGTAGCTCCTAAACTGGAATCAGCTGCTCCTTCATATCAGGCAGATTTCTGATGCTATTAAGTCTCTTTCATAATCATATTTAAAACACTTTTTAGGGTTTCACTTTATAGTTTAATGTATTAATTTATGTGTTTTTAACATTTAATTTAAAATATTTGAGTGATTTACAACACTGTGGAAAATGGGACAGTGGTAAAAAGCAAACAAAGGTCAGTTCAGGTCAATAATGGGGCATTTGAAATGAAATTGGTTTCTATTTCCTCTCTACTTCTCTATCAAACTCAGATTTTATGTCGCATTTATTTCAAATTTCGATCTAAATAAAAAAAAAAAAAAATACACCACCCAGTATATGCAGTTCCTCTTTCTACCTGTAGAGGGCAGCATTTCTTACCTGAAATCTTATAATTTTGTTAGAAATGTTAAAATAAAGTGTCAAGTAGCAAAGCAAAGAAGAACAGGTCAGAAACTACCAGGGGAGGACCTAAGGGACCTCATGGAGCCCATGGGGCCTCCCTGGATGAGGTGTGGGCGGGGCTCTGAGCTGGAAATGACAGGAATGAAGGAAGAGAAAAGCAGTTTCTGTCCAACTGGTTCCAGACATGAGAGCAGATTACTGACATCCAGCGAAGTGACATCAGCTCTGCCCTCCACCTGCATCACCTCTGTTTGTTTACCCTCCATAAGACTCTGTGGTCACATGACCTCCATCCAGGAACAGACAGATATTACAGCTAAATATCCACAAACTCAGCCTGATGGCAGAACGTATCGGAAAACATGTATGAAATATAAAAATATAAATTAAACTACAAGTAATCCAATAATTCATAGAGATTAGACAAAAATCAGTTGGATTTTATTTGGACAAAAAATAAAAAAGTCATAAAATGACAATAATAGATCAAAAGATGTAGAATAAATGTGAAAATATAAGAGTTTTTATGACATCTAAAGAAAAAATATATAATTGTATAACTTGTAAATCTACTCAACTTTAAAAAGAGTGAAAAAAGAAAACAACATGGATATTTCTTTATCCAATTAAAAAAAATTAGAAAGCTAGAAACATGCAAAAATAAAAAAGAGGAAAAAAATCAGTCATAAAATGACAATAATTGATCAAAAGATGTTGAATAAACATGAAAATAAAGTAGTTTTTATGACATCTAAAGAAAAAAAAATCTAATTATATAACTTG